TTTAATAAATGTTTTGTTTTGATATTTAAGTTGTTTGGGATTTTTCATCTAAAAAGAAGCGACATTAACTTCTTGACGACCTAATGTTTAAGAGATTTCTGTCACATTTGTTTAATAAGTGAAAAGTTTTATGTCATGTACTAGTTTTGTCACATAATATGAAAACAGTTAATGATGAGTAATTTTTAGGATAGAGAGGGGTAAAAATAAGTAATCACTAAAGTGTGTTATCTCTCTTAATTTGGCCAAATAACTATGTATTCCATCATCATCAGTTATGACTATGTCAGGTACTTACTTTTTAGTTGATATATAGTAAGTAAATATATATGCGTGTGTTGGGCTAAGGATTCTTCTCCAGGTGTCGTCTGTGACTTGTTGGGAATAAATTAAAAAGAAAAATCAACAGCATACACTCTACTTGTTTTCAAAATATTATATAAATTTGGAATAAGTTTAACATATGTACAAAAATTCCTTATACTATGAAGGTCATAGTTATATCTTAAACACTATATAGTTCTCTTCTTTTTGTCAAAAGTCCACTTAGGCCCATTTTATTGCTTTAGAATTCAGTTGACAAGCTGAACTATTTTTCACTTTTTCTCTCACCATACTATTTGTATATAGTTCACTTACGTTGTTGTCGATTTACTGCTGTTGTATCCTGTACTTCAAAAATTATCTACTCCTTTTTCGTATTTCCAAGAATCGTTTGCCTTTTTGTCAAAGTCCACTCAGGCTGGTTCATTTACTTTAGAACTTCCTTTAGACAACTTATTCTCCTTATCTCTTATGAAATTGTTAATCTCACTCAAAAATATTAACCGTTATGCATTTCATTCCCATGATGATTAACTTTGCGTTTAACTTTTCTCTGACCAAACTTCTCCTTCCCATGACTTTACTCTCTTCTGCTCTTTTTTCATCTGCTTGCCACTATTTATACATCTATCATGTAGGCTTTCTAGACTGGATTGCATGTGACATTCGGTAGCCTCGACATCAATTAACTATAAACCCAACGTACAATTTTTACCGAGTTACTTAACCAAACTTGTCACAACTATTGCCTTCAAAATAATTCCTTTTAACTCTCTTGTTATGAAAAAACTAAACCATCATGAAATATTCATTCACAAAATAAATTTATTAATAATACCTACACTAAACAGTTATTTATATCTGACAGGCTAATTATAGTAAAAGCCCTATCTGGCATCTCTCAGAACTGGGCAAATTCCAGCTAGAAACACGTTTATGATATTTTACAGGAACAATTTTGACACTTTGTTAATGTTTTAAAGTACATTATTTGTACGTCTATAACAATAACAGTAATAAATGTTGTAAAAATTGTAAACTAATCATATTTGTCATAAGACTTTATGTTAGGGCTGTTACATGTTTTTAACACTATATCTCTAGTCTAGTCCATTACATTTCTTCAAGAATTAAATGAATGTATAATACCCAATATTATACTCTTTCATTGATAAGATCTATGAGAGTATAATAAGCATCCTAGTTATTTCTGGCTTTTATTTTTACTTTAACCATGTGATTTAGTAAGAAAATAATTAGTTTCTTTTATATGTTGAATTTTCTATAAAAATAGCTCTTAGCTTGTCTTCAAGAACCAAATCGTTGCATTTGATACATTAATTCAACTTGAGTCTTAAAACAAAATCCATACCATAGGCAGCTGAGGATTGAAGTTTCAAGTAATGTCAGTTCTCATCATGTGAATTGTAGTTTCAAGTGCTATATCTCAAAGCTGTTGTTATCACATAAATCTTATAATTGTTGATTTAAAACCAGTATTTTCCAAAAGTATAAAACTCTACTAGTTATGGTATGAGGTTTAACACCCAAATGCGAGCTAATATTTTTTGTATTACAGTTCACAAAATTTGCATCACTTTATTCAGAAATAATATTATGATTAAGAATGGGTTTAAATCATCTTGTAAATAAATGCCAAACTTTTAAAGGATCAAGTTAACTATGCTTCATAAGTTGGATTGTAGTGTAGATTTTTATCTCTCTATCTGGATGATTTATTTGTTTCTCCATTTTTTTTTTTTATCTAGATTTCTTCTTGGTTCTGAAGAAGTAAAGTTACAGTCAAATTCTGAACACTTAGATCCTTGCAAAATGAAGCACAATGTTATTAAGGCTCTAAATCAGAAAAAAATAAATGGGAAACCTTTGCCTCTGAATAACACGGCAGTTAATTTTGCTACAAATTTTGCCACTTTCATTTCATCAGTATTTCAACAAGGAAGAAAACAGCTCGGCCAGACTCCACTGGTTAATTTTCTGAAAACTCATCCTCATCATCACTCTTGTCCTCACGCTTTCAGCTGCCCATCGTATATATTGAAGGTTAGTCTTTAAAATTCAAAGAGAGGTTGTAACTACTTTAAAATGGTTCTATTTTTAATGGGAAATGTATTAATATATTTTGAGTGTTTCATACTTAGGCAATATCTGTAACTATAGTTTTATTATTGTTTATTTTACCTTCTGTATCTTGTTTATAGAAGTTGCCCAAACATATCTGCTTAGTACATGTATAACATAATAAGATAGTTACTTCGTACAATGAAAGTATGTTAACACTAGTTTGATGTAGAATACCACACTGCACAAAACAGCTAAAAGATAATTGGAATCATATTTTTAGCTATGATAAAGTAAAAACCACAATGGTATAAAATGTTCCTCTCTGAAAGCTAATTGTCATGTAAATCAAGTCTTCTGATGATCCATCATGTTATCTGAAATGTAAGTGACAGATCATTCATTATACACTCGTACATGAACTTGTGTTATTGGTAGATTTACATCATAATATAGTTGATATTCTTCATCAATAGCATAAACACCATGAACAGGAAGCAGCATGGCTTCAGAATAGCATGCTTAAAGTACATGTTGATAAGGCCCTGACATATTCATGACTTCTCTCTAAGATCTGTAAGATCTTGAGCTACTGATGCTCCCTTATGCACTTTTGGACTAAAGTAATCTGATCATGTGCATAAAAGAATGCAGTTATATCAACATCCAATCAAAATATAGCATAAAAAAATTGCTAGAAGACTGATACAATGATCAAGAATAAACATTTCAAAGTACTAGTAAGAGTAAATGATGAAGGATACACCAAACCATTCTTATTCATCAGTTTAAATCCAATTTGAATAGAAACTATTCCACCACTGAATAGTAGTGAAATTGTAAGTTTACGTTTTCTTACATGTTAAAAATTATACCTGAAATAGTTATCTAAGTATACTAAAAGTTGAGAAGCACTGCCTTAGAGTGTGAGTTATACCTAAATGGATGGGTTTACACAAATTAGTGCAGGCTAAGATTTAGTCTGTCATTGAGTAAGTATAATGGAAATGGTTTCTGACGTACATAGTCTGGGATTGTTGGATACTGCACTAGGACTTAAAAGTATGATATAAACAAAATTTTTTTGGTTTTTGTGGAGCAAAGCAGTTGATTCCTCTTTTAGTATACAATTAGTTTACAGACAAATAGAAGCTGGTCAGTGTTTTCTAGTAATGCCCTAGTGTTTTTTCACTGTCAAATAATTACATTTATTGTTCTTTGTTTCATATATATTTTTAAGTTTGTTTTTCTTTGCTCCATATGTTTGATTTACTTTTTTGTAAAATGATTCCTGAGTATTGTGTTCAATGTGAATATAGGTGAACTTGAATATCACAGTACATGTTGTAATTGTTGAACATTCAGTTACATTTACCACTTACGTTTTAGAAAAAACAAAAAACAGTTAAACCTTTAGCACAGTATTTGAACGTTCTGCATGTATGGCATTGTAACTAAAGAAATCAATTTTGGTTCTTAGTTTTGTTCTGTATGAAGTATTTATTGAAGAACTAGTGGTTTAGACATGTTAAATAATGTGTATATATCTTAAAGAAGCTACGAAGTCTAAGAAACCTTGATTCTATATTTTGATTTTAATATAATTTGCATTGATATGTTAATTATTTTTCAGTAGAGAAAAATGATGAGATATTTTTTGTTTTATTTAAACAAAATCATTTTTATACCATTTATGAAAGTGAAATAATAATTCTCAAAATAGAGAAGAACCAACTAACCGAAATAATCATAAATATTAAATTATTTAGAACTTTGGCTAAATAAATTAACCATTCAAATCAGAATAAAACTAAATCAAAATAATGTATACTTTAATGAAAACAGTAAGTTGAATACACTAACTAGAAATACTGTCATAATTCAATATACTAACAAAAATATAAAACCCATGGTGATTCACTGTAAAGGTAAATAAACAGTTCTCATTGTTAATAATAACTGTTTACTTACTTTTGCAGTTTCAAAAGGATTTAAACTATATTCATGAATGTAGTTTATTTATTTGATGTTCTGTGAGAGAATGATATCCATTCTCATCAGACTCTATTTAAAGTTTCAGTTTGTAAAAATGTTAGTAAGATTTAAACACTGGCTGAAAGAACTAAACCAAACAAACTATTAGTTACGTTTATATCAAGATGTATATTTTCCTCCAAACATCTACACAACAGTATTAGCCACCCACCAAAATTCAGGGCTTAAGAATACCACTGAATGAGTTACCAGCAGTCATATTGGTTCTTCCAAGATGATACCTCACCTCCTCACACAGTTTAGCTGTCCTCCTCAGCTCATCTGCCAAAGAGATTTGCATGCTACTAGCCTTGATCCAATTCCCTCTTAAGTACATGAATTGTGCTACTACATGATGATGATGTCATCATATGACAAAAGCCCTCCAACAAAAGGAGGAAGAAACATTTCCGTGTGCAACAACTCTCCCCATGTGCTTGCACTCTTAAAACTTCATTCTTCTCCTTGGCATTCTGTTGTACAGATGTGTTTAAATTTCTCATCTGTGTTGAATTTATAAAGATTTCCATCATAAATGAAACTTTAATTTTAGTTTTCATTAGATTTTGTTGCAAATGCTTTAATTTTTTTATCATGAATTCTCAAATGATGGAAATTGATACTTAGTCCTGAGTGTGTGACATGATTCACACTTGGACTTCATCCTAGTATAGTGTTAGGAGGCTCATTAGCTATCGGGAGAGATGTTTTGACTTGAAGGGATTCGTCTCCCCTTTTTCTCCCTGTGAAATCTCTGATAGGCCCCTTTTCTATGTGATTCCACCTTTGGGGGTTGTACAGATACTCTAGAATCATGGATTGATGTAGCTAGGTTACATTCTTTCTTATTCTGCCTAGCCACACATTTGTCTCATCCTCCCATAACCCCAGGATTCACTTATCCTAGTTTCCTGCCCTCCTTCTTCCTCACCCCCATCCTTTACCTTCCTCAAGGCATTCCCATCCCTATCCTCATTTTATCCATGCCTGTTTGGACAGATGCCAGCATTATCACTGACACAACAGAGGATCCCTGTCCCAAGGGTGCCAGATTGCTCTATTTCTGAAACATGTAGCAGCACTTCCTGACAAATCCATGGGTTTTGTCAGAAGTTTTCTGCCTTTGGTTCTGGTCTCCACTCCATTTTCTTTCCTCAATTTCTTTTCCTCCTCCTTAGGATAATTCCTTTATCAGTTGTCTTTCCAAGAGACATCAAATTTGGTCATCCAGGGTCCCTGGAAAAACACCCACTGAAGTGAGAGATAGGGATCCATGATGAAATGGAGGGGGCTTCAGAAGAGTATTCTGCCAGGATTGATCTATAATTTATCTCCAATTGCCCGTCTTTTGGGGGACCATAGAGACAGGAATAAAAACCCAGATGAGTAGGAACCACCTGCTCAATAGCTCCTTTGCATAGGAAGTCTTGAATGGAAGTGTCCAAGGAAGCCCACATCCCCAAAATAGATAGAACCTCTTGAGCCATAAGAGAAGGAAAGGTAAGGGTCTGACTGAGCTGTGAATTGAAGACCCCCCCCCAAATAAACCATGTATTGAGTGGGGGGTAAGAATAGACTTCTCTAACTTTATCAACAAACCCACTCATGCTGTTACCTGTAGAAACAGATGTGTGTGATTCACTGATTGCAAATGGGAATGGGCAAGCAGGAACCAGTGATCCATATAATGATGAGTACAAAGACCCAATGAGTGAAGATGACGAGCAAATGAGCAAATCACTTCACAAAACACATAAGGAGCTGAAGAGACACAAAAAAATCAGTGCCTTGAACTGGAACACTTAACCCTTGTGGACAAACCATAGAAAACGACATGACTTAGGAGAAATGGTAATATAAAGATAGGAATCCATCTCGATCAGTAGAACTTCTCACTGGATCCCTTGGACCATCCTGTTACCCTTCCTTCTGTGATCAGAGTAGACCTAGCTTAGTGGTCAGGAATCAGGCTATGGTGAGGGTTCTCATTCCTCCACATCTGTTCATGGATGCATCATTGATGGGGTGGGGGCTTTCCTTAACTCTCAAGAGATTTCTGGTCTGTGGTCTGTAGAGGCATCTGCACTCCCTATCAGCATCTTCAAGCTTTTTGCAGTCTGTTGTCCTTTGACCCATTTCCTTCCACTCCTGTAGGGGTAGGTGGTTATGGTCCACTCCAACAATTCCATGGTCATCAATTATATCACCAAGCAAGATGGAACCAAAGCCAGATCTCTGTGTTTTTGGACTCTGGACCTTCTTTTCTGGGCCCACGATCAAAACATGGTGGTGTTAGCTTGCCATGTTCCTGGAACCATGAATCTGGTTGCAGATCTTTTATCTTGTCCCAACACAGGTTTTTTTGGTGGGTATGCTCTCAACTGGAGACACTGCTTATTGATGCCTTTGCCACACACTGGGACATTAAACTTCTTTCCTTTTAGTCTCCCGTTCTATACCCATCAGCTCTGGGTGTAGATGCATTCAGTCAGGATTGGATGGGTTTACAAATCTATGCTTAACCTCTGATCCAACTTCTATCTAAAGTTCTATCCCTCATCCAGACCACTCCTTGTTTCATCCTTCTGATTGCTCAGTATTTGCCTGCACAGCCTTGGTTCTCTCTGCTTTGGCCTTTACATGTACAAGGTCCCCTGCCATTACCTCTGTCTCAGTCTCTCCTCCGTCAACCTCGATCAGATGTAGTTCATCCCGATGTTACCGAACTCCGTCTTCACGTTTGACTTTTGCCTGGTTCCTTGCTTCAGTGCAGGGACTGACTCCTTGTGTAGTGTCTTTCCTTTCCTTGACCATTTACCAATGGTGTTGGTCTACCTTCCAATGTTGGTCTCTTTGCCATGGCTTCCTTCCCTCCTGTCCTTCTGTTCCTTAGCTTAACCAATTCTTCACCTGGTTGTTTGACCAGGGCTTGTCGATTTCGACTGTGTCTAGTTATCAGGCAGCCCTATCAAACACCTTTTTTTCCCCCCACTTCTGGAACATTTTCTCCTCCTTTGTCATACCATCTTTCTGTTATTTATGCCATTAATGTTTCTTTTACCCCTTACCATTCCTTTTCTGTGATCCTCTACTCCGACTGGTCCTTCTTGCCTAAGACCTAAGTGGCCCAGGAAGGTGGTTTTCTTTATCGCCCATTTCCTTGTTTTGTACTCCTGTTCTGATTCAAATAGGTTTTTTTGTTCAGTTCGATCTATGAGGTGTTATGTGGCTTGTACTGCCTCTTTTCATGGTTCATGTTCCCAACTATTTATTCCTGGGAACCATTCTGTTTCCCATGATCTATTTCCAGTAGCTTTCACTGTTTGGGTACATCAACTCATCAGGATGGCATATTTGGACTTGTCCATGGAAAGTTGCAGTCTCCACAATGTCTCTGCTTGATTTTACCTCCCTTTGGAAGAAATTGTCTAGGCTGGTATGTGGACAACTCCCAATACCTTTATCACTCATTATCTGTAGGATTTGGCTGTTTCTTCCTCTGGATAATATTGTCCTTCTCCCATGATGATTCTGCATATGTCTGTTTGCCTTTACCTGGGGTAAGTCTGCTCATTTTAGTTCTTTTATGTTTTTTTTTTTAGTTTCCCTAAGTTTTTTTATGGATCCCACCTAGTGGTGGGTGTTTTCTGGTCAGGTATGCTTTGTCTAAAGCCCGCACTAAATGTAGTAGTTGAGACGGGATGTTTTTGTATGGCTACTGTGCACTTTCCTGGTGGTTTATACATATCTATCATAATTATCATAAAAATCATGTGAAATTAAGTGAGAGTTGTCTTAAGGCTAGTAGTTCCTCAGTGTGTTTGAGAAAGAGACTTGCATGGATTGCTAAACTGTGTGTGGAAGTAAGTATCTATCAGAAATACTGAAAATACAGAAGAAAAAAAAAAGAGAGATTCAGCATAGGTGTTATTATCAGTCATTCTTTTGTTTTCAATACTTGCTCTGCTCATTCTAACATGGTTTATTCTGCTTATCCTACATTAATTTATGCTGTGTTTGTCTATGAACTGTTACCACAGTTTTAGAGATAGCAAGACCAATCTTGGCAGGCAGAGTTGGGTGGTCTGAGGGGGTAGTATTATTTACATGGTGTAGCCCTTCTTACAAATGATGGCAAAAATGCATCCAGGAATTATGGGAGTCTAGGAGTATGTTTTTATAGTTACTGAACCTGAATCTAGTATCATTTTCCTAGTCCTCCTTGGGATTCCAATGGTGCAATGTTTGTAACTATGTTCATATCCTCACTTCCAAGCTAGTAGGACCAAAAGTGGCACATGTGCTCATAAACCACAGATGGTTCTCTAACATGTTTGTCTTTGGGTATGTCCCTCTCTCTCCCGGGGTTACTACAGAAGTAATTGGGGTTAATGAGGGAGACTGATTGGTACATTGAAGCTTCTATGAATCACGAGTGGTCTTTGATCCCCACAGCAGAATGCAGATATTTTATGCTAGTTTTGTTAACTAGAGGTAAACAAAGTAGTAACAGTAGTGTATGATTTTGTTTTATAAAGTGAAATAATTATGGTTTAAATTTTATGATGTCACGTGTGAAGGAAGACATACTTATCTTCAGTGGTTTAAATAATTTATGACGGATGTCATCTGTACTTTTATTATATGAAACCTAGCTTATAATCAAGAGATATTCTTATATGTTATTAACCACTGTCAAGGTGTTTAAGCCAAAATATGCTTAGTGTGTTATATACTTTGTTTTTGTGTAGGAATCATGAAGTGTTTCTGAAAATTGATAGTGGCTCTTTTGTTTGAATGCAGTGTCTATATGTTTCAGTGCATAATCAGTAGGGGAACAGGGTGTGGGGAAAAAGTTGGAAATCAATGAGCAATACTTATATTCATTCTGTTTCAAAAGTGAAAAATGAATTTTGAGTATAAAATCTGTAGCATGGCAAAAACAGTTCGAAGTAGAGTACTTTAGGACCATGTTTGTTCAAATTTGCAACAGAATGAAAATAGATGTAACGTTTTTGTGGACTGCTTGTCATGGTATTTCTGCAACTTGTTATCTCTGTTGTTGAATATGTTTTAATGATTTTTAAATATATTTTTTATACCAAAAATCTAATTTTAATTTGAATAGTGGTAATTTGGCTTTGCAGTTTACTTTTGGAAATTGTAAAACAGAAGTTGTAAAAAAGTTGATTGTTAGAAATTGATTTTCTCATTACTTTTTTGTTTATCTTATGTCACTTGTATATAAATATCTATAGTAGACACAATCATATTTTTGATATTCAAGTATCATTGTTGCTTATATGAAATAATTATATTTTCTGAAACTGATTGTCAAATATGTTTTTTCAGGGATTTCTCCAACCTTTTCTTGTGGGTTATAGTGCACGTACTGCCATGCATATCTTCTCATCTTTCCAACATATCATCAAAAATCCATCTCTCATTCTCAGACTTCTTACTAATAAACAGAATTTAAGTGTGGGACTAAGTGTGGGAGGATTTTTTGGAATATTCAAGGTATGAGTTAACTTTACTGTTTTATTTATTGTTGAGTGCTTGGTCATAGATTTGTATTTTGGCCATTAATAAACAAAAGTTTGATTGTAAATACTTTTATAGTTCCTGTCAAGGCTCTCTTAGCATACGCTTTTAATAATTTTAAAGTAAGTTACAAAAGACAAAATGATTTTCTTTTCTTTTTTCCAGCATTTAATACTCAAGTTCTTTGACTCGTAATATTTTTGTTTTACTTTGTCTTTAGATATATGATTTTGTCATAGATGATTATAATAACAAGTATAGAGCTGTTACTGTGTATAGCCAGAGCTGAAAATGAAATCAAAGTTTCAAGGTTTGAGATATTAGTGTCGAATTAATTAAATATATCTTTTGAAGAATAACCTGGAAATGTTAGTATACCCCCTAAGTAACGGTGTCTTGCTGTATCAGTAATATATTAGATTTATGGTGGGTGACTTGGATGAAATTATCACTCAGAGCTACCTAAAAGCTAGTGCTGAAAGTAAAATCTAAGTGGTGTAAAGTCTGAGACAACAGTGTTAGTTTTATGTAGAATTATACATGGACTTTTCTGTACTGTAAGATACTTTTCTTTCATTTGTGAGCCTTCATCGGACATCAGTGTACTGAGAAATACAGATTTGTTTGTCTGTGGAATACCACTTTAAAACAGGTGTCTAGGTGACATTTGTTACAATTGGTTCCTTACCAGTGAAAGTGTGTTTTCTTGAGGTACTCCCGTTTCCCCCGACAACCAAATTCGTAAGATTAGGATTCATAAATCCCATCCCTGAAAAGGACCATACCATAAAATGTTAAACATCCTTTCTTGTTTAAAATGATCAGATTATTATTTAAATCTAGTTTCAATTATTTCTCTCTCCAAATTGTTATTGCAAAACCAAAATTTTAATATTGAAATTTTACAAAATCAGATAATAAAATAAAAAATATCTCATCAGTGAAAAAAATGTCCAGCACTTAATTCAGAAGCAGGCATACTTGAGCTGCATCTCCCGACTCTCCTAAAAAAATAGCTCTACACCAACCAAAGCAGGATGACGTCACCTCCAGTTCTACTCTTAAACCATGTGTATCAACATAAGCACGTGTTCTCCTTACACCAGAAAAAAACACAAGACTCAACGTTTTCACCACAGAAGCTCTCTTACCTTCTCTCCATGTCTTACATACTTCTGTTAACCATAGAAAATGACATTTAATTATTGTCTCCTATGAGATTCAAAAAGTCGGGCATCACTTAAAATCGAAACCATGTAGTAGGGTGAAAAGAAACAGAAGTTTCTGACCACCCTTAACCTATATTAACCCATATTCCCACCATGTCAACAGATGAACAGGTTTGTTACAATTGTTATTAGTTTCAACAAAATAGTAATTTTGAATTATTTTTATTCTAGCATTGGTAACTAACCTGCTGCCATCCTTAGAGATGTCCTGAAGAGGACTGTTTCTGTGTTGGTGGTGGCCAGGATTAAATCGTGGGGATCCTTGATGGAAAGTCTGGTGACTTATCCACTTGACTGGTGTCTTCCTCATTAGAACTTAACCAACTTAGCTATTTTAAAGTTTTTAAGAGGATTATCCAGTGTGTTATCAGTTGGTTGGATGTAGTAGGCTTCTTTTCTCTTTCTTTTTCCCTTATGTGGTCCATATCCTGTTATTTTATTATTATTGAGTTTATCATATAGTCTTTTGTGGCATGACAGGCTATTGCAGATAGATGAGTATTACTAAGTCCTGTGTATCTATTATGCTTTGGAATTCTAACTTTTGTTGACTTTTGGTTTCTCCAATGTATTGAAATTCACATTCACAGAAGATGATATAACTGGCTTTTCTTCTCCATCAGGTTTTTAGGTGTTTTGATGTGTACTAAGCATGATTATATTGTGTTGTAGCTTCCGACTACTGTTTTGACTTTATGTTGTTTACATATCATCTGTATTAATATTAATTTCTGATCAAAGCAAGCTACCTGCAAAAGTCAACTATTTATACATTAGTATGTTTTTAGAGAGACCTCTGACATAAGGAAATATGGCTCTAATATCTTTTATTTTATTTTCATATATTCCTTGTTTTTATCTTCTTTATCTTTGTCTAGTATTTTTGGTAAAACCATTGCTGAGAAGGATTGTAGAGACGTGTTTTTTCTTCCTGCTTACATTTGGTATAACAAATCTTGTCCATTCTAGTATTTAGGCAGTCTTTGAAGCCTGTCTTTACACTTGGAGTGGTTTGATTTTTTTTTATAGTTGAGGTACTTACACACATTCTTGGGTTTCCTGTGTTATTTGTCTTAGTGACTGTCATATCAAAGAATGGGAGTTTATTATTGTGTATTTACAATATGAATTGCATTGTGGGATGTTGTTTGCTCTGGTAGTTCATGAATTCTTAAATCTTGTATGTATTTTATACCCATATTACAAATGTATCATTAATATACCCAAGCCAAATCTTGGAATGAGAGGAATTGTTTTTAGGGCATTAACTTTGAAATGTTCCATGTAGAAATTACTGAGTATTAGAGATAAGGGTGAGCCAGTAGATAGGCTTGTTAGTAGTTATTTTAATATTGGAAACAGGCTGGGTTGATACACAAGGTTGTTTATTCTGTTATCATGGAGATTGCCAATTGGGTTTGTTCCTTAAGAATTTTGTCATTCTCATGCTGTTGGCAGAGTATTTTTCTGTCTCCAATTGGTACATTAGTGAAGAGGTTGAACACATCCAAACTTATCATTGTTTCTTATGAGGTTATTGCACTTCCTTTTTTACAAAGTGGGCTAATTTCTTAATTAGTTACTAGTTAATAATTAGACTTAGGTGATCATGTAGACTATGAACCATCATGACAATGATTTTTGTTAAAAGGCAAAGGTGCACATTAGAGAAATAATAGCACTGGCTAATAGCTTAGACTCCCCTCCCTCTACACTAAACACGTAAAGCCTTAGTTGCAGGACATGGTAGTGTGGGTGCCCCTGCAATCTTTAGATCCACAGACAAATGATTTAACCACTAAGCTACCAAAATGCTTGTTTTTGTAATTGGAAAATAGGAAAACTTGTGTCTGAAAGTCTTTTACTGTAACTCTCCAAAAAGTAGTAATTTTTTAGATCATTTATACTTTAAAATTATCACACTATAATTTAATTACAAGAAGTTGGTCAGGGCTTTTAACATGTTTAATCACAAGCCAAGATTATGAGCAGGAGTAAGTTAACTAATTGTGCAATTTGTTACCATAGGTCATGAACTACCTTCTGTTTCTTTTGACACATTGGTGTTCGACATAGTAAATGACATTTTGAGTGATTCTGTTACAGTAGCTGATGTTCAAATCTAGTACTGTCTTTTGTAACTGGTTAACAGTGTTGCCTATCTTGTTTGTGAAATTATGAATAACTTCCCAAAACAAGTAAAATAAATAATGGAATTGATCTGTAAAAGAATGGGAAATCTACAAAATATATTGTTGATATGAAAGTACAGGTTATACTTGTATAGATATGATTAATCTTGAATTTATCATAAAGGTTATTCTCAAACAATTTGCTGATATTTTAAAACATAATTTTGAATTCTAGACCTAGTGGTAATAATAAGTAATAAAACATTATTGTATGCTATGTATACTTGTTGACTTTCATTTAGGACTGTGTGTGAATGTATAGATTTTGGTCTAATCTATAAGGTATAGTTTAAAAAATTAAAATAACAGCAGATTTGTAGAGTGGATAGTAAAATTTTTATATGTATTTGCTCCATTTTGAATGTCTCGCAGTAATTAGAAATTGGTTGCATATTTCATTCATGTAATCAAGGTGCATTATGTTGAACCCAGGTAACATATATATTTTATTACCTACTTAAAGCTTGTAAGTTGTCTACTGAGGTGGGTTCACAATAAGGACAGTGAGTGGCATGCCATTCCAGCTGGACTCTTGGCAGGGTTGACGATGTTAATTAATCCTAACTCAACTGTGGCCTTGTATTTAGCATGGAAGGCTGTTGAGGTTGGTAAACAGCTTATCTAGAGTTCATTATATGTAAATAAATGAATATTTAAAAACTAAAGTTATTTATGTACCGATTAGCAATAGGTGGATGTTTAAATAATAGTTTATTGAATGTAGATTTATATAATACTAAGAAAGGTAATAGGAGATGTTATATTTATTTGTATAGAAAAGACTAAAATGGGTGGATAGATGTATGTGAAGGGTGGATAGATGTATGTGAAGGGTGGATAGATGTATGTGAATAAGACATCTAGTGATTTATTATTATATAAATTGAAAACTGTGTCATAACTCCGAGTCTATTTACTTCATTTAAAAATATTTTGTCTAGCTTGTGAGCTATGTACGTTTAATTAATGACATTTGTTTTAATTAAAGTAACTATTTTTTTTTTAAAACCTGAAATGAATGGATATTCTGAAACTGATTACATGTGAGACTAGAAGAATGTACAATACATTTTGTTTTAATGGATAAACTATAGGTGTATCAAAGAGGAAAAATATAATTCAGGTTTTGTTTTGCATCTAGTGTGGTGGTACAGGTCACAATACAGAAATTTATTTTTTTCACTTTACATGTTCATATAAATGTTACCATTTAATCAGGCTTTTATATTAGATAGAAAGTACTTATATTTGTGTAATTTAAATGTATGTAATATTAAAATCAGTGAGAAGCATAGTAAATCTAAGGGTGATAAATGAAAAACAAACATGAATACTGAAGAAATGTGAGTATCTGATACTTTGCTGTAGAAATATTTATCTTATTTTATGTTGTTAAAAAACCTGTGTGTGTTTGTGTATAAATAATGTGATTTGTTTAATATAGCAATTTATATATGGTGCATGCGGATAGTTCACAAAGATAAAACTAAATTTGTAACCATACAATCCTTTGTTTAAACTGTTTTTAATTTTATCTATCTTTTTTTAGAAAAAAATTATGGTATTTATTTTTCAAAGTTAATGTACATTTTGCTCAAATTTTACTTTACGTATTATCACTGTTAAAAACCTGATATCTTTTTCTAACTACATATAAGTATATATTTTAGCGAAATGTTAGTATTTGTTAATAAATGTTTAAAAGAACTTGTTATTATTTTCATAAATTAAGTTTTGTTGGATTCTTTTAGTTTGTTTGTTTTTACTTAGTAAGCATATCTTTAAAAATTCTTGTTTTTTTACAGATTGTCTATACTATTGGAGTAAAAAAGAGAGTACTTCCTTCTATTCCTGGTTCCATCTTAATACTCTATGCTGCTTCTACAGCGTTACTGTTTTATGCAGTAGGTGTTTCGTTTATTATTAATTTGTTAATAAGCACAAAGCTACACAATGAACTACCTGTGTATCAAAACTTGGTTATTAGCTATCAGAACTCAGACTTACTGCTGAGCAACCAGGGGGCATATTTATTATTTGATGTGTGTGTGTATATATATTATGATTCTTTAACTCCAGGTAGAGTCATTGCTATATTCTTAATCAGATGCTGTGTTGTGTTTGTTTTCATAGTCTTGTGATTTTAATTTTACAAATATTTCTAAGACCAGTGAAACCAGATCTGCCATGTACAAGATATACCAAATATCTGCTCCAGATTAAAAAAATAAACCCAAACGAAGATATTTTTTAGTGCTCAAAACCATATAAGGGACCAACTTATTATAAAATAATGATTTTAAATGAATAATTTTTTTCAGTATATCTGTATTTTTAATCTGAATCTGTTCTCGAGTTTTATCATGTTTTGAGCAACTTAATTATGACAAAACTTTGTTGAAACATTGTACATTTGCTGTTATGTTAAACTTATATTAAAGTTTTTCTTCATTACCCATACAAGCTGTCTCCAAGCATTATTAACTTAATTGATATGCAAGGACTAATTTATTTAAAAGCAAATTTTATTTCTTTTGTAATACACATTTCTTTGTATGTTCATCAAAATGTGTATGCTTACATCTTTTTGTATATGCTTTGTGTTTGAGGATGATAGTCATCAATCTCTAGGAAAAAAACAAAAACAGGAAATTAGTATGCCAAGCCTGTCCATAGTTAGTATTTTGTTTAGCAGTACTTCTGTGAAGAAAAAATTCAGTGTGCTTCTTTATTCTTAAACTGAGGTTTTAAAATATAATTTTGTTAGAAATACTTTGAAGGAAATGCAGCTTAATCATTATTATAGCTTAGTGAAATTTTTCTGTTTATTTTTTAGATGACATTGTTTTTAATTGCGCACAAATGTAAGTTTTCTATGTGAATAGGTTGGAAAGCACTCTGGTGTTGCGGCTAACTTATAAAAAAAACATGTAAGAAAAAAAATGTACAATTTCATTGAAAGATGTAATTTATTAAGTGGGAAGTTCTGGAATTTTCCAGAAATGTTATTTGATAAAAATCATAGGTCAAAGAGGCACTAGTAATAGATAGTAATTGTAAATGTGTGGTAGTTTGAAATATTAAAAAGTGTCTTACTTGCAATAACCAGTGACTTAAACCTTTAGTTCTGTTGGTAGAGCACTTGTCTGGCATATGAAATCTTAGGTTCTTCTCCAAGCTGAGGAAAAAAAATAAAATAAATGTGGATGAATGATGCCTAATTTGTCCTACCATGACCCTGGAACAAGGCCCAAGGATGGGTCTTGTTTGTGAGAGGGAAAAAATAGGGTGGTTTGAGTTGTTAAAGTGCCTTATTAGCAATTGCTTGTTAGTTAACTTTTTTGCTTGGTAGAGCACTCCTGTAGCATACAACTGGTCTCAGGTTTGACCATGAACTGAAAAAAAAAGTATTACAACAAATGAATATAATTATAAACTTAATTTTGTAGAACTTAACTTTGTATTTTATGTTAAGGTATTTTTTATTGTATTTTGAGACTTGGGACAGTCTCATTTTTAAAAAGTTATTATGTACTATCAAATGTTGATTTTTTTTAAATACATGTATATTATTAAGTACATATAATGCTTTCCACAACACAATTCCTGATTTATGTCAAACATATAATAATTATTAAATTTGTATCAGGGCTTTTTTAAAACACTTTATTGTAATGGGCCATATCCAAAAAGGGCATATATACATATATTTATTTAGGTTCAATTATAACAAAAATATTAAAAGTACCATAATTACACGAAGAAATGAAATAAACACTATTGAAGATGTTAAAACTCAAGAGTATGTTTTATAGAATACTTAAAGTGATCTAACAGTGAAAAATTTAACAGCAAATGCTCTTCCTTGATATAGGTTTCAGTTGGCTCCCGATATCTGCAGACCTTCTTAAAAATTTCTGCTGCTGGTCATGGGTGATATTCTGAAATGCTGCAACCGTTGAGTGACAGTCAAGCGTGCACTCATCGTTGACTCTTTTGTGCTTGATCTTCTGTCATCATATATGGTGGTGTGAGGCGAAACAATTCATATTGTTTGCATACTGTGTGGAGACAGTGTTACCATTGCTGCTGGGGTCTTTTGCACAGTTTTTGCTGTTACACAAGCTGGCAAAAGCCTCCTTAGTGTATTTAACAGATCTGCATCAGAATCACTTCTTGAAGGAAGAAGTGTTTCTAGGATGTTGGAAATATATGTCTGTGCTTTGCAGACCTGTTCAGCAACATCACCAGATTCCCCTGGCAACAATTCTGCAATGAGAGCTGTTCCACCATCTATAAAATTTTCATGCTAGTCATTACTCCTTCTTGATCCTTTGATGTATTACACTTTCAAATGATCTAAAACTGAGCTATGATAATTTATATTTAGTAGTTAAATAAATGCTGATATGTATCTAATTTATGATTTTTGCCAACTAGATTGATACA